CTCGACCACGCCAGAAAAAAAATTCATTCTCCATGCGAACTCAAAGAACACGACCAGTTCACTATGGAAAATTACTTCGCCATTGAACATTATGGAACTCAGAGCGAGAGGCGGGCAATTGAAATTTCTTATAATATGATATCTAGTAAATATATATAATATAATATGATGTATAATGTATATTTTATCGATGAAATTGGTAAAAAATTGCATGCCCATTACCGATATACGTAGACATGTAAAAGCTGACGTCGTAAAATTTATAGAAAATTAACTAGGGTAATAAAAATTTTCGATCTTCGCTCTTTATCGTTTCGCCTCATCTACTCCGATCCAAAAACGATTTTATACTCAATCTCTCCCGTAAAAATCCCGCTAGGAAAGTCGTGAAGCATCGAAAAGGTTACGACATCGACCTCGAATCGATTCCTCCATAAAATCCACCTGTTTCTCGCGAGAAGTCGGTTTCAATTCGAAATCCAGAATCGTCGATGTGACACGGGCGTCTCATGCCTCCTCTCCGTTTAATTTTAATCGTTCTATCACCGAAAATAAATTTCGTTCGGGACACGACGACGCTTTTCGAAAGTCACTTTCGATTGCGTAACGTTCGAAAGCGTCTTCTGCAACCTGTTCGAAACCAGTGGCAGGAAGCGAAAAGTAAGAGAGAAGGAGGACGTTTACAATCGAGATGCCCGATTGCCGGGATAATTTTAATAAACTCGTTGGTGTAATTACTCGAAACGTTTGCGACTTTCGTCCTACTTCGGACAGGCTACTGAAAGTCGTTGAAAGTTAATGGAAAAATAGAGGAAGAAGGAACAGATAGTGAGGGTCGGTGGAAGATGAGACGTTGAGAATAATTGAAAAAGAGGGAAGAAAATAGAAACAGAGAAGAAATGAAGGAGAATAGAGGAGAATGAAGGAAAATGTTGCTGAGAAATTAAAAGAAAGAACAGGGGAAAGATCCGAATACCAAGAGAAGTTTGAACATCTGCCATTTCTAAGAAATCCCCTTCCGTTTCTCAATCCCAAAGGTTCTCATCTTAAAGAATCGCAAAAATCCCCGTGTGCACAGGGGATGCAGATCCAAGAGAGAGATTAAAGAAAACAGGAAATATCGGAAGACCAAGTGTGATACCAAGAAAGAAAAAGAAAAGAGAAAAGAATCGAGATACAACGGGGGGGGGGAGAAGAAAGGAACGAGGGGGACAGAAAAGAAGAGAAGGAGAAGGAGAAGAATGAGAAAGGCAATAAAAAGAAAAGACGGTTAAAAAGGGAGGCTGGAAACACGTGATAGAGGACAAGAAGAAGCTCTGCAGGATACGCCAACAGCTGCCTCGTTATTTTCAGGACTTTAACGCTGGACGAAGCCTCCACAGGATTCGATGAGAAACGCAACGCTTGCTTCGAAGACTTCGGCCTGAATTAAACCTCGAAATTAACGAGAATACCTAGGCCGATTTATGACGATGCTTTTTCTTCTTTAGACACAAAGAAATCCGACGCCTCGTTAGATGCTATGAGAAGAACTTAAATATTGGCGAGAGATTGGAACCACCCAACTCGACGAGGCCTTGCTAATTAATTCTTGTTTATATAGCGATTATTATGACAACGTAAAGATTTGGATATATTCCTTCAGCTTTCTAGGGAAGCACAGCCCACGCTTTCTGAAACAGATTTCTCCTCGCTGATTATCAACATGATTTTATTTAATTATACATATCCGGAATTGTAACAAAAGCCAAGATCTTCCTTTTTCTTATTGTACGAGAGCTAGGAACAAGATTTTATTGCTTCGCACATTGTTCTTCGTACTTCACCAGCCTTTCTAAAAATAACCAAGGAACTTAATTCCTAAGAAAAGATTCGACTTCCGTCTCCTAATCTTCTGAAATAATCCAAAATTCTCAGGGTAAAAGTAATTCAACTCAGTACTAGCGAGATTCTTCGTTCCATAGTCCAGTAGAATTTGTCACCCGGTATACGGTGGAATATTCGACACGAAGAGATCTTGGCGCGGATCTACGAAGGGTGAGGGGTCTAGTGGAGACACGACGAGGGGGATTAACATTCGTGGCGTGTAACTGAACGTCTACGTCGTGGCACGATGCGACTGCTTCGGTCTCAGGGACGCGAACACAGGGACAAAAGTCTCTGGAATGGAATTCAGGGCCGTGTTCCTCGTATCCATTCGTTCTTTCCTTTCCACATTTTTAATCTACCCTCGATTAATCCGTGTAATTTTCATCAGATCCTCGATAAACAGGTTTTCTCCGTTTCTTCCTCGTGTCTCGTTTCTTTCGTACAAAAACGAACAAAATCATTGGGAAAGATTCGTTGAGCGATGAGTACGAGTCGAGTGAATATGATAACGTTGATAAGACGCATAAATTGTCGAGCGACAGTTACTATACTAGATGGTGTAATAAAGATTACTTAATTTTAACCACTTACCATTTTAACCATTTTAACTGATTTTAACCACTATCTTATAAACTCGTCACCAAACCACATTATAAACTCTTTAGATTGAAGAAGAACTTATGCAACGCCGATCATGAAAGAATTAACCAAACACTAGCTAAAATTTCGCCCCAGTAAATGGTGATTTATTGGAGTTACTGTGTATTTACTGTGTGATTTATGGATTTACTTTGTCTAATTATCTACAAGTGAGTTCTAAGATTAAATTCTGGAATTCTATCGTCTCCGTCTAAAGAGAATCTCGAGATTATCTATCATTTAGTAATAAAATTTTCGTTCTAGGCATATTCATATTTTTAAGTTAGCAGGGGGAAAAAATTTGTCACATTTATTATCATAAATCTGGAATATCTTCCATATTGGACTCCTATAAAAATCGTTAGGTCTGTGTAATCTAAAGAGTTAGAAAACGATAAAAGAGCTTTACACACGATGATGGTGGTAGGGTGGTTGACGGTAGTTGATAGATAAAGAGAGATTGCTTATAGTCCGCGCGTGTACGTACAAGACCCGGGAGCTCCGCGGCTTCCCCTTATCTTATCAGCAGGACATTGGACCTGCGTGCCGATGAATCGAGACGATAATAAATAACCGCGAGGTTCAGTCGACGCTACGGCGCCAAAAACTATCAGAACAGGTGCCTGAACGAGGTGTAGCTGATCGATACGTCGCCGGAAACCAAGAAATGATCGATGGGACGAAATCGCTTCTCAGATTCTTATCAGATACAAACAACATTTTCATTTTGCTTCTTTCCTTACGAAATTTGAATTATGTATATGTTAATGATTCGCATCCCGTGAATATTGAATCGAGTTAAGTTTAACTGAATCGAGTCTGATGTAGCTGAATCGCTTAAAATATAATTGAGGATTTTAAATTGAATTGAAACGAGTTAAATCGATCAGCTAATGGAAATTTCAAATCTTTAACAATTTCAATATCTAGATCGTATCGCGAATGGAATAACGAATATTGTTCGAGTTTGATTTTATAGGTTTATTGTTTGAGATCAAAGTATCTAATTTATCTCGAAACATACCCTCCATCTTTACGATCTTTATTTTTACGCGCACCTTTTTCTGGATTCCGTAAAAACTTATTCTCCGTTGTAATAATATTATTGCTTCTCAGATTTTTCAGTCTGGTTTACCGTTTACCTTTAATTTATTTTTCCTTCCAGACGTATCGTACCCCTTTTCATCTGAAATCTCGAAGACGGATCCAAGCTTCGCAAACATTCTGTAAGATCTCTGTGCGATATATCATCAAAGATCGCTATCGATATTCTGCAGCTAATTGAAAATGAGAAGAGAACGGCACGAGATATATTCTTCCAGGGTATTTATGTTATATCATTCTCGATCGAGAACGATACTGTCCTTCTCGCCTTTGATTATTACACAATCGGGCAATTATTAATACGTTGGACCAACCAAATGATGACACGATGATGTGGAAAACATTCGCAACGAAACCAGTCTCCATGTTCGATTTCTCCTCTCAGCAATTTATTTTTAAACCACCGTTATTTAATCAGTAGTAGCAATTAAGCGCGTGTAAACTTAAATGTGTGTATATCAAATAATTAAACTTTGTTTGGTTTTTGTATTATCGATTATTTAATCTTATCCTAGATACTATCTTTATTTATTCTATAGATACGTAAAAGTACACATGAACTTTAAAATACAACGTATTTTCATATGTCTCTGTTTTAAGAGTTCTAAGAAGAAGGCTGAAATCTCGTAGGATTATTCAATTCCCTGCGAATTGCCAAGTAATTTAGATGTAATAAATTAAGAACGATGAGCGAGCAGAGTGATTAAAAAAGAAGTACGAATGAAGGACTGAATAAATTTTAAAAAGCCAACACAAATTAGCACATAGTCGTCCTGATAAAAGGCCAAGTCATTGATGCCGGATGCACTTAACGATAACGAGAGAAAAGACACGACGTATCACTGTGAAAATAATTTACAATATTCAGACTTGTAGAATTGACTGAACTTCTTATTTGTTTCACATTTGCGAATGTTTGACGCCATTGATCAATGTACATTGGACCTATTATCGATTCGTAGCAACTTCAGTAGATCACGTGTGCGAAGGATCAATCGAATCCAAGTGCACAATTCAGATTTCAAAATACACGCTTTCAAGTATTATTCTCTAACCATAATTAAAAACCTAAGGAAAAAGAAAGAAAAGATGAAACATTTAGTAAATTCTGCGAAACTAAATGGCTATAATATATATATATTGCACAAACCATTGCTTCAAACTATTCCGTAATTACATAAGAAATGCGATTACATAAGAAAAATATGCAAATATGTGTATTGATCAATATATACTAATCTGTCTTGATCGATATACAGTTCGATACACAATTTATTTATATATTTATGCAATACAAATGCATTTTTCCTGCAATGATATTTTAATTATCCCGCATTCGATTTCATTCTATCTGTCATATAAGAAGTAATGCAAGAAAATTTCTTTCACCTCGAACGCTATAACATTTTCCTGTCGATCATCTTAATCTTTCTCCTTTTTTCTCCATCAGACAATACAGGCTATTGACGGAATATTGTTCCTTCCTGGAACAATTCGTACAAGACAAGCGAGCCGTTGTATTCGAGAGGCATCTATGCACGGTACTTTCTTGAGCCGTCGATCCGGCCAGATATCTTTCTAAAACGGCCCTGGCCATTGGCCAAAGTGCTTCGAACGCGTCAACCGACATCCACGAGTGCGGGGGATAATAGGGAAAAGTCACGAGAGCTTTGACTCTATTCTTGATGGATCGAATTTTCATGCGGAAGGTACCTAAAGTAATTATTACCAGCGTCCTCTTAAATATTAAAATAGCATACAATTTTTTATAGTGCATGTTTCACTTATATTTCGTGGCATAAATTTTCCATACGACCCCTTGGTCGCAGGTTTTGTTGCATTACACTGTTCGCACGATATGTAGAATGATTTTTTTATGTCACTAGCTCTTCTTGCGTTACGTATTTTCTATACAATGGATTCTTTATAATACTGATTTTCTATACGATGTTTCTTTTAGCTTCTATATTTTTCATGCAATGAATTGTTTATGTTAATTAAGAGTTTCTGTCTAATGATTTTTCAATACTATAAATTCCTCGTGTAATATCTCTCTCTACACTATAGCCATCTAAGCTCTATGAATACTTTTGTCCTTGTCATACTCTTCCCCTTTTTCGCCTCGGTGTACTTTTTTGCCTGTATATATTAGGCTATATAATTTACAGTGGTTCTATCTCTGCAACAATATTATTTTTATCCGATCGTTTCAATCTCAATTTTTAAGCTGATACTCTCCGTAGAGTTACACAGTATGCACTTTGCCTTTACGTGCCTACCTCTTGCAAGCGAGACGAATAAATGAATAAAGAGATCCATGCACGTTACTTCGCAGTTATAAAATACACGCGCTGTTGCAACAGCTGCTTAAGATGCGCATAAGATGTCGTGCGATTATTTCAATTACTTATGCTTTTCCTATATCCCTCCATCTTGGTTGCAAGGACACTCCTCTTTTTATTAGCACCTTTGTGCAAAACACGCCGCTATTACGATCCCGTTTCTGAACCGGATTTCTTCACTTTTTCCAGCTTACCAACGACCAACCCGAAGTCCATGATTCTTTTTTTTCAAATCAAGTATTTGCAAAAATATCTCGTTGATGATTAGCCTAAGACTATCCGAAGTAGCTGAATAATCTAGAAACATTTAAAACACAAAGATAATAGCGATATATGTTAGATAACAGCCTTTCGAAAATATCGAAAATAAAGAAATTTATCATGACTATAACAACACAAATATTTAAGTAAATAACTTCATAGAAATACAGAAGCCTATTTACCTACAAATATTCAACGCAGAGGTCATTTCACGATTACAAAAAAGAAAACTGAAAATTAAGATTAACACTCGACCATTAGCGTCACGAAGTATCCTCGATTCGCATCAACAATTTGCCGCACAATTTCCGCCACAATGATTCTCCAATAAGCTCATCGAAGAATTTACCACCTATCTATATAAGTACGTTGCAATACGAGCGACATCATCAGCCAACCGATCGACGAGGGTAAAAATGGCGGCGTGACGGCCGAACGAATTTATTTGCTCGCGCAACCCCTCACGAAGAGACCCACGCGATGCTTTACGATCGCGGCAACGTTTTCGAAGCATTACATTCCTCACGCGCCTACACACTCTTCTCTCTCCAGGACACCGAGGCCGCGGCTTTTAGAAGCTTCGTTTTCTACCTCCTACCGATTTTCTATACTCTACGTTCTACGAAGCCACATAGAGAAAGAGAGAGAGAGAGAGAGAGAGAACCATACATGTTGCTCTCGAATCGAGACACACTCACTCCGCGTGAATGTATTTATAGGGATAGTATACACTTGTGTCACGTGTACACGTGCAGTGGATTTATGCATGTGCCGCACGCACCGCATAATTCCACCGATGGAAAATTATTAACCGACCATTTCTCTCACGTGACTTCCAGCCACCATTTTTTACAGTCAGTCGGAGCTATTTTTCGTCGAGGAACATTAGGTTGAAACAGGTGAAGATGGAAATGTAAGAAAATATGAGTAGCTTGATCCACGAATAGGTTTTGGTCGCCTAAGATTTAGTTCAATCGTTCAAGAAGATCCTATTCGTGAATTTATAATATATCTTTCTTAAGTCAAATATTTCTTTCCTTTTATTTTATTTATCATTCCTGTTCGGTTCACTTAGAGGTGACCTCACCCCCTCCCTTACAACACTTTGACTCACGCGTGCCACGAAAATACACATCGACTGCCTCGATCTTGAAATTCTAGCTATACTAATGAAATAATATTAGAATAAGAAATTTAGAGATCCGACACATCATACCATATCACATGTCGCGCAGAACTTAAATTGTAATACAGGACAGTTTTCTAATATACATAATAGGCAGTTACTTACTATTCTTTAATTAATTTACTTACATCTACGTTAGTCTATACCTAAAACTAATATAAAATACTACATTAACATAGTTATTTCTCTATATTACATATTATCTGATCTGAAAAATACAAAGAAAGTTCAAACTTATAACATACGCGATTCATCCATAAAAACCGATTACGACAAATTTGAACTGTTCTTGTATTTCGTAACTTCGATTCTTATACACATATTTTAGCATACAGAGTTAGCTTTTACTAGATCATATTGAAATATACAATCCATAAAAAGAGCACGCTTTTAACGACACCAATTGCCGGTTGTTTCGAATTCAGTATAGATCAGATCCGAACAACGACAATATTCAAGTGAAATTATCCCAGCCCGATGACAATTCCAATCACGTTGATTTCGGAATCCTGACGACATCTTTACCTGACAGTATTAGAAGGTTCAACTTCAATCTAATGCTGCCCGGTAAGATGTGAACAGATACTCCGTCCGATGTTTTTAGCTTTAATCCGCCGTCCTCAGAGTTCGTCCCTTGCCCTTTTCGTATCTTTCTTCGTCCATTCGTTTCGTCCACGTTGTTCTCGTGGCTCGTTTCTTTCTTTAGCTCGTTCTCTTCGCTCTTTCCTTTACCCTCACTCACTCCGCCGACCCCTCTCACTCTCTCTCTCTCTTTCTCTCTCTCACACGCCATCCTCTCGCTTTTTTCTTTCTCCTTCTAAGAAACAATCGTGGACCAACACACGTTTCCCGTTACCGAGTGCCGTACTTTCTCGAAGTTGGCAATGGTCATTGGTCCGTTGGTAAAGAAACAACTAAACGTGCGAAAAAGTGGTTCCCAGAGATCTCAGAGATTACAATAAAGCGCGTAGAAGTCATTGCCCGCTTTATACGTTTAGTGCACCGAGCGTAAAAAAAGAGGCGATGCCAAGGTGCAAATAAGTGCGGTAAAGAAAACGTGCAGGGAACTAAAGAAAACCGTTGGAGGAGTTGGGGAAGAGCAGGAAGAAGGAACTATTATTCATTTACGATTGGACTGTTAACAAGAAGGGCGTAGACGTTCGTTATTAATTTTATATAGTTCAAGCTTTTTGAAAGCGTTCAGGACTGTTAGAATGAGGACAAAGATATAGAGCAAGCAACATCTGCCAAGGAAAAGATATCGATAATGAATACACAGAGAATATAGCAAGTCAAGAGAAGCAACATGGCTGCAAATAGCTGCAAATTCTCACCAAGTGCTTATGATTAACCTGTAGTATAGAATCTGCTAACCACGTTTCGCGTTTGGGTCAAGTTCAATACCTAGAGGTCGTCGATCGTAAAATCCGAACTATGCGATCACGACGGTTGCACCTCTTTTTCCACGCGAAATCGACCCAAGATACGCCGAACGAATGTTCCTCTGCTTTTTCATTCTTTTCCTTCTTTCCTTTTCTTTTCGAATAGATTCGTTTGCCAAGCCCCATTACCACGGGAGATAGCATCGTTCAGATAGAAGGCGAGCAGGGTGGAGATGAGGGGGTTGCCTCCGATGGTAGGAGGGGCAAGCATGTTTTATGTAATCACCAACCGACTCTGCGGGGCTTGGTATTAATACTGGTAATAAATAAACGCCGTCAGGGAGAGACTCGATCCTAAGGCATCTCGCTGTGCTTCGTCTACCTCTTACCTCCTCGCTCCACCCTTTTCCTCATACGCATGGGCGTCGCAAGACTTTCGTACGCGGCATAAAATCACACCAAATCTATACTTCTTATTTCTCCTTTTTTTTCAATGACTTTCAAACTTTCCCTTTTTTATGTAATATAGTGTCGACACCATTGCGCTGCTTGCACTTTTCAACACATAACAACGATTACATAGCCTTTACATAGTCCTTACTCAAACGTTAGCTAATTGTAAAAAAATATAATACATATCATTGCATTCGGTTTTCACGTGATATTACGTTTAGTTTGAAGTAAATAAAGTTCTCATTTAATAATGCAAATGGCGACGCCTATGGGCACACATCCACTTTTCTCCTATTCATTCCCAACCATCCGTCCACATTACTCTCTCTCTCTGTCTCTTTCTTGTTCAACTATATGCGTATACCTACATAATCGAGGATGACTTTAATGCTTAAACCAACCGAATAATACGCGAGTTTATATGTATATATCGTCATGAGGTTTAATGAATTGAGGTCGAGTGTACATACATCCAATGTCATCGATTTTTTTTAAAACTTTCAATACGCCAGTAATACAATCCGACATTACCTATATTATCAATACAACCAAACACTTGTCCTAACGGTTGTGACAGAGTATTAAGGCAAGTTTGTATTCAAGTTTTTATACCCGCGATTATGCTTTTAACTTGTTAATTCGCCTTTTTTACTCCCGCCATTTTTTGCTCTCGCACGTAACATAATAAAAACGTCAAGATAAATATTTCATTCCCTTTTATTTTAGCTCGTCTGTTAATCTCAACGATCATTTCCTTGATTTTATTAAACATATGTATATTATTTCCGTGGCTAACGTAATTTCACGTATGCAGAAGCTGCATTCAACATAAGCAGCTTCTCTTTTTTCTCTCGCAGTATTCAGAGCCGCTTCTTCTGTAAATTTACATTTCCGTGTATGTATCTGGCAACCGGTTTTATGAAGCGACTCACGGCATGCAACTTAAGTAGAGATTTTTCTTCCTACGAGATATTCTTCTCCCGTGGAAAGACACGAAATAACACAATCATGTGGAGACTATATTTCATATAACTAATGCCATGTCTATATAAATTTGAAATTATTTAGAAACCGTTTAAAAACGATGCCAAATTTTAACGTTCGAAATTTAAAAATTCAAAGATTCAACAAAATTTAAAATGATCGTTGTTTCGATAAACTTCTCTTCATTATGCACAATTGCTAAACTAATATTCGTGAGCTCTGTACTAGAACGAAATGAAATCTCGACAATTCACGATTCTTCTCTTCTTTCCTTTGTTAGTCATGCAAGCGCGCACGCGCGAGGGAATAGAAAAGAGAAAGATAAAAATGAAAGGAAGGGGGGAAAAAAATAAAAATTCTCTGGCAACCAGTCATGCCATCCGTCGCTCGTTATCGCACGACCAGTTGTATCAACGTCTCCGCCTTTATGCAAATGGCCGAAGGCTAATATCCATAATGAGCATTAATATGTTCTTTTTTTACTTAAAGATGGCTGGTCTTGTTCACCAAGGAGGAATCGAACGACGTCCTGCGCGCAAAAAAGGAATAAAAAAGTTTTTCGATACACTATTCCGCGATATGATGGAGTAATTTCATGGGCTGCAGTAAAATTTAATTAGTGCTCCCGGGAATGCGAATTCTCTCCCATAATTTCCGTAAACCGAAGTCGTCATTTCGTACATAAGAATCGTTTCAACTAAACTTGAGCGTGAATTAATTTTCTAGCCTACTTACGAAAATTGTAGCCCCATTCTTTTATCGAATATACGATAAACAATGCAAGAAGAAAAAGAAAGATAAAATTCAATGAAAACTTTCGAAAATATTTCGGTCCACGAATGACAACAAAAAACAAGCAAACATAGAAAATGTATGTTGGCAGGCGATTAGAAGAATTTCCGAAAAGATGAGATTAACGCACCCGCACACGCAGGTACACAAAACCGTGTTAGATTTTAATGTCTCTCGAAAAACTTCGTTTTCGCGGTTGTTTCCCTTCTACTTGTCGAAATCGCGAAAGACAAAGGATACATCGATACATTTCGAAACGCAATATTTCCGCCGTGCGAACTGGTGTAAACAAAATATTTGTATTAATTTATTGCGAGAACGTGCTCTCTGTCGATTACAAATATTCTAAAATATCGGATCCTTCATAAGGAGGAATTAGTATCTTTTATTACTTCACATTTGTTTATGTGCCATTTTTCGTGGGGCAAGGGAAGGAGGATAGAAGAAAGGAGAATAAAGAAGAGAAAAAGAAAGGAAGGAGGATACCCGTTGCATAAGCTATATTTAACTGCACCTGCTGGCGCCAGACTACTCGCACACGAGTTCACAGTGTGCGCTGTGCATATTATACGCGTTGCTATACAAGACGCAACGCGCTCTGGTGTCGAACGTCCGTTTTATTCGACAGGATAAGGGCGTGCGTATGACGAGATGGACACTCTTGATTCTAGTTTGTAATCGTTTCAATAGTTTCATTCGTTGAACGTCTGATTTTAAATATTTCAATTTTTAAATAGTACATTTAACAACTTTCCATGAACTCGATGATTTTATTTAATTCGAAACTTGAGACTTTTTCAAAAGTTTGATCGTTGCAATATATCCTCGAACTAAACGTATATGCAGACGATTCTGAGATGCAAACTACGTTCTGAAATCGTTTGAAGAAATTATTCGACGGCATGTCACGTATCGCGTAGCGTGACACGAAGCCAAGACGCGGTCCTCTCGATAACGTTCCCCCTTCTTCCTCAACTATCCCAACCGAAACGAATCTAATAATAACCCGACCAGATCATGTTTGAATAATTGGTACGGAAAGAAACACAGGAAAAAATATCGAAACATGAATCCACAAGGGCGAAATGTGCTTTAGGCAGCCAAATATGGTGCGACACCAAACGACCTTAGAAAACCACTACAAGGCGTTTAATTTAATTAAGCTTCGCGAAACATACGGACGACGATGAGCCCGACCAATGGGCGTGTCCGTGTCTAACGACACCCGCCTACCCATTTCCAGTATTCCTCGTGTTCGAATCAACTCAACGGTTTCAATCGTAATACGTATGTTTATTAGGCATATTAAGAATATGACTTCCGGCTAAATCACAATTAAATTAATGATTTTTTTCTGTTGTTTCGATCGAACAATCTTAAATGGGTAAGAAGAGAAATGATGAAGTAAAAATAGTAACATAAGTGTACACGTGGTATACATGTTCAAATTACGCGCGTTACATAATCCCACGTCGTTCCCGTTCCGACATGGGTATCGATAAATCATCAACTTTGAAAAAGTTCCTAACGAATAAAATCGTCAGTCTATCTTTTTTGTGAGCATCCCTTTACAAACATATTTGACTATAAAAATTCGATTTCCGCGAGTATACAAGATCTCATAACACATTATCGTAAATTAATGCCTGGAAGCGCAAAAATCATAAAAGAAGCTATAAATTTAAGGCAGAATGTTCACTCACCAAACGTTCAAGGCGTTTCATTTTCCAGTAGTACATATTCGGCGACCATCGTCGATACCGGGGCTTCACAACCAAATCCTTGCAAGGTTTTCGATCGATCCTTCGTTGGAAGACATAGAACGAAAAAGACGGACAGGTGCACCATTTCCAGATACGAGATATGACGCACTCTTAAGTAAAGTGCACGATGTCTCGACGCGGTCTTCCTTTATTTACTCTATCGACGACGAGTAAGCTCGAAGAAATAGATTCGTCAGAAGATTCGTAAATCACTGAGAATCGCACAGGAGAAGGAAGGATACTATATTGGCGAGTCGCGCAGGCCCGAAAACCGCACTGTCAGCCGGAAGCGTGGCACACGATCGAGAACGAACGTGAAGGAGTAGGAGACAAATGAGACAGAAGGTGGAAAGGAACGTTTCGAACGGAGCGAAAAACGAAGAACCGAGTAGAGTGGGGACAAAACGGAGAGACGTGGACGAGAAGTATAGTCGATGGAACCATACTCTCGTAGTGCCACGTTAACTGACCATCGTTATCCCTACTAATTCTTGCAATTAAATTCGTAAAGCGAGTCCCTGATATTATCTATGTAAAAACTTGGCCAGTTAACGGGGCACTGCCGTAGTGAAGTCATAAATTAAAGCATTAAACGGAGAGATTCATTGATGTATTGCATAGTATGTATGTACGTATCGCATAGAAGCTCTTTAAATATTAGATTACAAAAAATCTTGCAGTAATAAGTCTTGTATCGCGTGGTTCGGCAATGATCCACGCGGTCTGGATGATAAATCACGTTAGCACGACATGAAACATATTAAAATCGTATTACTTTTAGTGTTTCGTTAAAGTTTTACGATATTAAATTCCCTTCAATGTCTTAGTAACAATCGCCTAAATTAACAAAAATTCATTTACAGTTGTTAAAAATTAAAACGTATATCTACGAAAAACGCGGTAAGAAATAGCTCCGAGTTGACATCGTACGGCCCTGAACGAGGCTCTAGGTTCGTTATAATCCCGAAAATTCTCAAATCAATAGTCTCAAATTACTTTACTTTTGTTTGAATCCTTAAAAGGTATCTATGTGGCTCTAGTTCCTGACCGATTTTACGACTTCACTATATCTCTTCCATCGACCATAGACTTCCTTCCGCTTTCGGTAACGCGTGTGCGAGAGGAACATGCGAACCGGCTTTCGTTTGTCGATGTGTATATACTCCTCGTTTCCCGGTTTCGATCGCGAATTGACTTTACAACTCTATTGACGAGACGATCAACAATCAGGGACGACGACCGCGGTCGAAATAACCAAGTAACTCCGTTACACCAACGGAATCATCGACGTGCACGAAACTGAACGTACTGCCGGAACAACAGCGAAGGCAAACGAAGATCCAAACCAGTGGAATGAGCGGCGCAGACTAAGCTGCGCGGAGGCTGGCGAGAACTCCACCAGTCACGAGTGCGCGTTTCCATCGCGCCGCTGAATGGTGGGGATAGAGCAACGTGTGCGTGAGAGTGCGTTCGTTCCACCGAACGACGGAAGCGTGGTGGGGAAGTGGGTTCGCGCGATCAGGAGCGGGGATGCGACTTAACGCACCCCGTGAATGATGCAGGTGGCGGGCACGGACGATGACTGCATTCGCACATCGCTACCATATTCTATTAATTAACTCTTTCGTGGTCAAAAGTCACAATTGAGATCATTTTGAACAAACAACCATTTCAATACATAGTAAAAGGATATATTATTATATATGTTTATTTTAGTAAAATCAATGTAATCTTTTTTTACATTTATCCTTGTATATATATAAGGCATCTTCTATATAAGATATGTCTATATGTAAGAAAGATGAAATATATATAATATAAATTTATATACAAAGGATTGTAGATGTAAAATATCGAATATATGACACATCGAATGTTCATCGACTTTTCAAGAATCCAAGATTTATCGAAGGTTTAAGATTTGCCGCAGTCGACATAGACCAAGCATATAGATTTCAATTTTCTAAACGTCAGTACCTATTATCGAAACTAGTAGAAACGAGTGAAGGAAACAACTAACGAATCTCTAATATTGAAACCATTCGGTTATCGTTATCTTGTCTCTTCACATATTCGAATAAACTACAGTTCTTCAATGATTCAGCCATATTCGCCAATGTAGAATATAATTCACAAAATTATTTGACTTTACACACATCTTATAAAATGTGACTAACTTCTTGAGTAGCCAGTGGAATTCGTATTAACTCACTAGTCATCGAAGGTAACGTTAAAATTGCAAGTACACTCACATTGCTGCACCTTATGACGATTGTTGGCACAGAGTGCTTCGTCACTGACAACAGTGACAATGAGTTCAAGGCTCATAACGCGTGGTTACAGACTTCTTATCTTTCTGTTTTTACCTTATGAAGTCCCATACACATTTAGCATTCCAAAGAAAAGGAAAAGTAGTCGCGAGAAAAAACAATGATCGCTTAATTATCAACGGTATATATTACGAGCACGAGTTGATTGCGACAGAGAACTCTTTATCTGCCTCGATTGCCAGACGCGATAATGCGCATTCGAATGGGACGTTCGATTCGTCGCAATGATGGTTTATATCATCTTCACTGTGTAGATGACTTGTCGTTAGGTGAAATTTTACCCTATTCACCACTGTATCATTCATGTAACCAATGCACTTATATGTATTTCACATCGGTAGTATATTATCAACTGGGGACGACCTAACGACCCTGTGTTTTCTCGTGTCCCAGATTCAAAAAATTTTATCGCGTTGGGAGCTAAATAGCGTTGCACGATGACCGAGGCTTACGAAATAGGGCAAGACTGGCGTTCATCGATAATGAGTTGAACAGATAAATGTTCGATGCGCGGAGAAACAAATATATATAGTTGATATTGCATCATCGATTCTACACATGTTGGCAATTGTGATGAGATGCAGATAGAAAGACAGTTTTTCATTGTAAGACTGAAAATTAACTTCAATATCTTTATAGCTTATTGAATGTAGATAACGCATTTTCTCGAATAACAAAAATCGTCAAAAATTAAATATTTTTTGTACGTCCTTCTTTAGCGAAGGAAATTCTAAAAGTGAGAAAATTGCGTAAACGTTTAATTTCCTAGTGTTTTTAAGACACGCACTACAAGGTAATAGCATTTCGTAATGAAAGAGTGTGGCTTCTGACTATGGGCAACGCGGTTCCGAATATATACATACATCATGAGCATACCTCCGCATTAGGTAGTGAAATAGGTTAAATACAATTTTCCTAAAAACTATGACCATCGAAGGAGGATGATCAATATATTTATACATATATACCGTCGGGAGATGGTGTATTCAATTGAAAAATTCCTTGTCCTATACATCTTTCAAATGTAAATGCATCTGTCGTTTCTTTTTCCTCGCAATGATGATAATCATGAATATATAGCAAGTCGAACTCCTTAGGCTAGAAAATTCGAAGTTCTTCTCAAGGGAGACTAAACATTTCAGAAAAAGAATGCTTTCACAAGACAGCCAAGCCTATAGAAGTAGTCGTCAATCGTATGTGTATCTTTCTTTCTAAGAAATTTATTTCGCAACTCTCAGGAATTTCACTTCCGAATTTCTAAAGTACAATACACAAATTGTACAAAAGCTTCAGGTGTTATGATCAGCGATCAAATGCGAATCAAGAAGAGATTGTTGTTTTCGGATCTATTGCGCATCTAACAAAGAAGAGGGTACAACGGATTCGGCTGGCTCGTTTTCAAAGAATAAAAAGCGAAGAAATTGGACATCACGGTCAGTGACATGCCTCACGATCGGCATATTTCCTCGACTACGTCATTGTCGAACAGTGGCCCCCGTGGTAGGGCAAGAATTTGCGGAGTGTATTAGTAGGCCATGACGAAAATACCAGGAGGTCCGGATAGTAATAGCGAACATCTAGACGGCATTGACCGCGCCCGAATCCGCGCGCAGGTCGTTCCCCGTACTCCTCGTTCTCCATGTTGCTCGTTAAAGTCACATTTAGTAAGAAGAGGCCTTTGCGAGACGCGTCACCAGAGACGCATTTAGAAACGGCGTTACCATAGCATCATTTTAGTTTTTCGGTTGGTCGGCCGCGAAATCCAGGAACCATGAAACTATGCAAAAGCGAACGCATAGCCACACAGCTCGATGATCCTCTCGTTCCTTTTTCTTTGATCCTTATAGATAGAACATCTCTGTAGTCGATGCCTTTCTGGCGAATTAGCACATTTTTCCCTGGAATTCCAATTCTCATTACGTAATACTCGTTATACTTCCTTAAAGCTCATTAAATGTTCGTTTAGCCTGGAAAAGAATTTTCCAATTAATACCAGGAGAAAGTCGAATATTTTCGAAACTACGCACATTGATTCCAAATAAAATAATTTGAATTAAGGAGAAAGTAATATCAGACACGAATTTATGCTTCTTCGAGAAACAATAGGATCGATTTCTCATTTCGAGAAAAAGGCTTTAATTCAATGTTAATTTCGTCCAACGAATTATTCTGCCGGACGATTCTACCGGAAGCGCGATAATTCACAGAGGCAAGGGAACACATAGGCCACGCCTAGGTATAAAGCGAGTGAAATACACGTAAGGCTAGGTAGAAAGGTCGAGTCAGAATATATTCTCTTCCTCGCATACATACATATATCCCAACTGCTATATCCTTCCCCTTTTTTCCCTTTATTTCTTTTGCCATCGACCCAATACGCCGCTCCCATGTTTGTCAACTACGTACGCCCCCATTGTCATATGATGGTTCCTAAACGTGCTGGTACAAAACGATCGTCAGAAAGACGAGTTCTGTACGTTTTAAGGATCGGTCCAAACTGCACAAGATACAGCCAGCATGCCTTTACGACCAATAAATGTCTGCTTTACGAGCGTCACCCCGTGTATCCAACCGTTTTGTCTGTGCAACGCCGAAGAGAGCGTATTTCAATGATCGAAATGCTCATTAATGGTGATTAAAATGGCCCTCCGTCACGGTATCGCGTTGCACTGTCCATCAACGAAATTGATTTAAACAACGTGTCGAAACGAAACGCAAGCATGATCGATAAGCTGGATTTATCGTATGATAAAACATTGCCTGATGTTCTTATCCATTGGATACGTTTTGGCCGTTTTGAAAACTCGCTTGTAAGGCGAATATGCTGTATATATATGTAAAATAAGAATGGCAAAAATTTTTGCATTCTTATCGATGCCTATTAATTTAATAAATTGCTCGACTCTTTAAAATGCATTAAAAATATGTACACGAGTATCAAAAGATCATATAATGATTCATCAAGATCATTTTCAAACGTAAAAACTTCTGGAAAAGTAATTATTTAAAAATAACATGCGAATAACGTTGTAGTCTATTAAACGATTAATTGAAATATTACTAAGTAAGTCTAGAAATGTTTATTTCGCCATTTTATTGTCGCTCTATACATACAGTAACCATCTTTGATATTTACAAATGTCGAAAAATTAACAGCGATTTTCCTACACGCTGAAAATAATGGACATATAAAGCGCCACTACGATAAAATCTGAACGTTTTCTTTCCTTCGTTTGCTCAACGGGTAAGAAAAGAAATGAAAACTACCGGTAATTGTTGACGATTACGGAGGTGAATTAATGAGCGATCTTTTCTTTTGTGGGAGAGCAAGCGAGGAAAAGCGCGAAGAAACGTAACGAAATTATAACGAAGGACAAACAGGCCAGATAACCCGAGCATACCTCGGTTAGCAACACGATCGTCCGAGTATTACGAGAATGATAACAAACACGTATGTACTCGCTATGGTATCTGGGGTTATCGTTTTTCTTTTTTCTCCATGGTGGAATCAACAGGGAGGAGTATTAACTGCGAAGGATCAGAGAATGGACCATGGGTCATCCGAAGAAACGACTGACTATCCAATTTATTAATTTATTTTGATCTTGTTCCATTTTTCCCGTTTCTTCTCTTTCAATATTAATCGCCTAAAACAAATAAGAAATTTTTTTTTTTATTATTATCTATTTATTCACATTTTACACTTTGTCCTACAGGACACTACACAGTAGGACATCGAAATAAGAAATGTCGATAATTTTTTGGCATTGAACAATCTATTCTTATCCTACAATACGGTAAAAGACTATTATTACATTATATTATTTTATTATATTTTATGATTATAAACAGTAAGATTGTATATATAGGTATATGTCTATACCTTAACGCCTTAACCTAATATTACAATCTTACGAAATCACATTCTAGACATAATTGTAGACATGTAAACGAAATAAATGTGAACATAATTACTTGGATTGTCTCGTTTATTTCTTTATTACATTATTCTACGTTCTGATACTATTTTTTACATAGAATTTATCGACCGAGGACCTTAATATTTGATCCTCCGTGGAAAAATTTCAGAAAATATAAATTATTCTATATATCCTCTGTAATAGTAATCTAAAGATTCAAGGTCAAATTTCGAATCCTCAACTGTTCTTATACGATCGATCTAAACAAATTCGTGTCTATTCTTTATTAACATTAATACATATTGCCTGCATGGCCCTCGAAGCATAGAAATCGCAAAAATGATCGACTACTGCTAGGGTTAGCGTCGACCTGTTTCCGGCAGAATTCCGAAATAAGGAAGGGACAAGTCGATATATTGGCCACGATCATACCGTATGCATACATTCAAGAAACGTTTTACACGCAAATATTGTCGCAGTTCACCACGTCGAGGGTCTCCGTATCCGCTGACGTCACATTGACCTAACCGACCCCGCCGAACTTTGCGCCACATTAACATATCGATTTACAACCATTTATATACGTTTGATTTCCGTTCAAGAGAAGGTTCCGCAATCGAATGGTGGCATCGAATACGAAGAAGCGGGGTCAGTTGGTAAACAGCATCATTAGCCTCCATCAAACACTTTCATTTTAATTATAATGCACAGGTGTTCGACAATGATCCACGAGAATTCGTCGTTCCTATTGTGATGATTCTTGAAGGAGATGTTACACGTCGATAATCAGCGTTGACAACTTATCTTAATTAATTCACGACACGATTCATCATCGAGCCTTGTTATTCGAAGAACAATAGAGAATAATCGTTTCATCCTGTAAGAAACGACGGATATTTTAATAAATGTTACAACGTTATCAACGCATTAACAGTCGATAATAGGTTATTCATCTCGTTTATAGTAACATGAGTAACTTTGCTGCATTTTATAAAACCTTCGGTTCTTAGATAGAAACGAAAAAAAGGATTGATATGTTATAAGTTGTTTCATAGAAAAATATTAAAATTCGAAGTATATATATATAATATTAGACATTAAACGTTAATTGATTTATATTCTTTTTTTCTATGTTTTTCTCAAATAACGGTAACCGTTACATAATTTTGATAAATTCATAGTTAATTCATATCAATGAATTATATATAGATTAACATAAAGTTTAACATAAAATTCTGAACGTAAAGAATTGCTTTATGTGAAAAGATCGAGAATTAGCAAATGTATAATTTATTATTTGATATCATAATTTTAATATGTAGACATTCTGTGTTACGTGCTGCCGCAACGCGGGTATTCTATGAATTAAATAAGAAATTAGAGTAATACTCGCTTGGTAAATGCCAAGTCGGTAAGCAAATCGATCATTTTATAACCATAAACATATGTTTTGTATCCGATACAAAATACGTAAGAACGTGAAGAGCAATTTATAAGAACAAATTTGCAAGTTATATTTTCTATTTTATATGATTTGGACAATGTAAGAAATTATATACTACAAATATATTCAATATATAATTACTATTATGTCAAATATTGTTTGACTGCAATGAACATACGTACATATTAATCATTTATTTTATAACATCAATCTATTTATTGTTTTTGAATTTACGATAAAAATTACTTCGCAACATTACTTAATGCGTTTCGATTTTTACATATCACTTCTAAATAATATTCTTTCAAAGTGTAATGCTTGTTTATGGGATGTGAACAGGATATTTCATCATCTGAATTTGTATCCATTTCTGATAAAATATCGGTTCTGGTAGTGTTGCTAATTAATTGTGTTGAATTGTTATTAATGTCATAAAATTTTTCATATAATGCCAAAAAGCTGAATCTTCTTAACCTTTCTAAAATTGATAATGCAAGAGCATCTGTAGCTGTTTCGTGTGCTTTTTGTAAGAGCTGTTGGTAATCGACTCCATTAAACTTTGTCTGCAATAAAGACCATTATTATTTATAGTGAAATTGAGGAGATTAAATTTAATAAGATTAAATACCTTTTTAATAAGTGTACTATATTTATTTGTTGCAAGTGGTTTAAGATTTCGTTTCAGAATCCAATTAGCTTCAAGTTTTTCTTCATTAAAAAATGTGACATAGTATTTGCTCTGTAAATTATATATATGTACTTTAGCATCCGACATAGAACCTATATTATATAAGAAAGAAAATATAACCTTACAGGTTTAGAGGAATTTTTAGGTAATTTATAAAATGTGCAAGTATCAGGACAGTCGTTAATAATACCAGGCCACCATGGGTAGCCTTTGACGTATGCCCAAACAATGCTACCTGCGTTATAAGCATTTTCAATTAAATCAGTCTTGATGCTACATGATGTAGGACGTTCTGCTATATCACAAGATGCCATCAATTTGTCTGTGAAACCATATAATAAAATTAAACACATATGTACATATGAAACATACAATATATTTCAAAACAAAATGTACAGACCAGAATTCATTTCGCAATACCATATTTTAGGCACATCTACTGGATCATGATAATCTTCAACGTATCTCCATTTTTTACATTTTTTTCTACAGCATTCAATCCATACGCCAACATCCCTTCTAGGCTGTAGCCAATATAATTTTTCTTTCCAATTAAGATTATTGTCACATTGTGATAATATTTTTGCATTTGGATTGAATACTGAGAAACCAAGAAAAAAGAAAGTACCATTTCAATATTATAGTGAATATATTAAATATCCAAGGCATTTTAAGTTTGCATAAATTTTACTCGTTATAAATCTATTATTTTATAAAATGGTATTTATCATACAATCTTATTACAATCTTTCCCTTAATAATAACATACTTATTATAATTAAATTAACAGCTAACATATACTGTTATACGCGAAAATGAATTAATTTCCCTTTGGTATCAATGTTTTTAGTTTTTGACACGTGCATGTATATTTTCTCACTTTTTGTAGACCTACCTACAGGAGATTCTTGTACTACATTGTTTTTGTTGTTTCCTATAACATTTTTATCGTTTTCTTTATCGTTCGTTTGTACCTTAATCTTGTCTAATTTCACGCGTAATCTATGTATTTGACTCTGCGAAGAATCGAATCTATTGCATTTTGCCATACGTTGTTTGTGAAACATATCATTTGATTGGTTACATTGAATATAAACGCCGCTATCTATGGCATCCAATTCATCGTCGGTGTAATGTAACTTTTTTGGCCTTAAACCTCCCTTCTTAATTTGCTTTTTATACTTGACTGGTGCCTTTGGCGTTGTTATACATATTTTATCCATTGGTGGTGTAACAAACGAGTCGAATGTATTTTCGAATGATTGTTTACGAAATAAATTGGTCTGTTAAAAATTAGGATAGGACAAGGTTTTTATTAATTCTTCAATGTATTGGCAGAGAGTAATCATTTTAGTATGATACCTGTGAAAACAAATTTGTTGACGAATTAGAATATTTCACTTGCCCAAATTTCCATTTTCCAAATAACATCCTGGAAGTTTGTCGATTCAAATCTGATCTTTCAAACAGAAAATTTTTTTCCTGCATACAGTTTTCAGTTGGTTGTTGCATGGTTCAAATTTCATTTAATATCATAACACTGTGTACGAAAAGAAAGATTTTATCTTTTTTAAACGAAAACAGCTCGATTTTATTAGAAAAAAATCGCGTTCGCGGGATGACTAAAAATTACGATTGAACGAGAAACCCGCAGCATTTGTAATGGGGTTCGCACGTCATTTTGCACGGTATTTACTGCAAAGCAACACAAACCAATGAAAGTCTAGATTTTTTAACAAATGAGTAACATATGTGTATGTGTGTGTAAAATATATCGTTTAAAAACGCCTTTGAAATTTTTAATTTATAAACTTGTCCATTTATTTAAATTGTTTTCCTTGAACGTATTTAAATTTTTTGTGTAATCGGTAAAGGTAATATATTGGGTTGTTCGGAGTTCGTTCCGATTTTTAAGGAATTTGATCGACATGAAAGGTCATACTGACAAGTTTTTCGCCGAAAAACCTGAGAGGTTCTGGAAGGATATTCAAGTTGCGTAAAAGATGGACAAAGGTTGTAGAACAAAATGGCATCTATATGATTCAATAAATGTATATCGAATGAAAATTTAAATCAGAATGAACTTTCCGGGCGACCCAATAAATTCAAATAAATTAGTTAGTTTAATAGTTTTGAAATCTGGCAATTGCCGCCAACGCTGTCATTGGTGTATTGAAATTTCGTCGCGCATAATTATATTGTAATTTGTTCGTGATTCAAAAAACTGTCAGTTGCGTCATTACGTCAGTTATAGGTCTCATCGTAATTTAGTGCATGCAAATATTATAAAATATATTATTTAAATAGTAAAATACTTCATCATATTCATTATTATCGTATTAAAGTAATCTAGCGATTATTTCTAAGTAATTGTTTAAATATTATTTCGCTAAGTAACTAATATTTTTGAGTGATAATTAATCGTTCGTAGATATCTCAGTATAATATACGAACGTTAATTTGATCGGTGTTGAATTAATTTTTTTGTATAATCTTTAGAATCGTATAACCGAATTTCCATTAATAAGTTATGTCTAAACTATTATAATAAGTAATAAAGTAACAAATTAAATTTTGTATTAGTCATTTCATTCATACAGAATATATAAATAAATGAATACAAATTACTTACATCATTTCTATTAGTATTCAAAGTGTATAAATATATGCAAATGACGGAACAATATTACGCATTTATATACATCTATGGGCATACATATATATATATATATATGTGTATATATATATATATTCATATATATACATGTTTCCTTTTGGAATATTCGAACAATTGAATTACAAAACTTCCTGCAATTTTCTAAGGGTTCTGCATTTATACAGTATTCAAAAAATTGTTTTCGTCCAATCAAATCGTATTTCGGAGCCGAAAATTGCCGAAGCTATGTTCGTTTCATTCGGGTACCCACATAGAAAATGGAGTTTGAGCAAAGCAAGCAAAGCAGCTATTCGCCATCGTTGATGGGCGCACAACGACAGTTCGAAGCTGGGTGCATCACATATTTTGTGACAAACGTGGATTTTTGTGCTTAATGCGAGCAAGAAGTACACCGAACTGAAACCAAAGTCGGGTGCAAGACATTTGACAGTAAGTTTATACGTTTAGCAAGGCATCTAAAGGGAAAAATCCAAAACGAAAACTGTAGGCATAGACGACCATTCGTTTACAAAACGCCATAAACCATAATCTGCGCATGCGCGGTCGCGGGAATGATAAATTTGCACAGAGAGTCAAGTATACCGTGGATCAAAACGATATTTGTATACCTACATTTTTTGCAATAACTTTAAGCTATCAATTGATACATTAAAAACTATTTACATTAACAATGTTCTACGTATGAAAATAACATACAACTATTTTCAATGATGTGTTATAAAAGTATCATATAATAAACATAAAAATTTGACAGTTAAAATAGTATTTGTTTATCTGTTTTTGATTTTCTTAAGAATTTATAGGAAAAAATTAATTGTTTATGACACCCTTGAATTCGTCTCGACGCCGTCTTTAAAATTAAATAAAAAAGTGATATAGTGTCACTGAGGAGATGGTTGTGATGGTTGATTTTTTATTAAATAAAAAACTTTTCTATTTTTAATACATAAATTTGTTTTGATTAGAAATGAATGCTTACTAACTTAATTGAATTATTATAAAAATATCAGGTGTACAAATACTTTTGAAGTCACGCGATTTTAAATAGTTCGCGGCGACAAATAATTGCTTCAACCACTAGGAAATATTCTTTTAAATTTATGTACGTAATATGTACGAACAAGATTTTATGTAATAAATTCTTATGTGATAATGCGTTCGTTGTTCGGTTATTCACTATAGAAGGAGATTATCTTAAAGCCTACTACAACGCCTTTTCCTTTATGTTTTACGTATTCTTTGATAACGTTTATGTACTTAGATAGTTCGGAATTTTACTACCAAAATTTTCATCGACTATGTAAAATTTACACATACCATGTTAAATAAAGATAATCCGAGTTTCATGCAATATATTTAATTTAGGTTTGCTATTTATGTTGATTTTTTCGAATTGTTATCTTTTTAATGGTATTTATTAATTTTTATCACAAAATCTAAATCTAATTACTGTAACTCTCTTTTTAGATTCTAAAAGATGTCATCCACACAAGTTGATCGGTCCACCAAAATGGGTCATATTACTAAGAAGGAAAATGAAAAATCAAGAAAGACATTTAATTCTTCTCATAAAAAACACAAGCACGAAGACAGTCGTCATTTTAAGTTTGGTAGGAAACGTCTACAGAGTTTTATTAGCAATGGTAAATTCTTTCCACCATATAAACGTAGGAAGAAGGAAGGTGCAATTATTCCACCCACAAAATTTTTACTTGGTGGTAACATACGTGATCCTTTAAATTTAAATAGCATGCAGGATGAGGAAATAAATAGAGCTATGAATGCTGTTACACCTAAGTCGAGCCCATTGCCCACACCTAGACATAAAACAGAGGTTATCGAAGTTATAATTCCACCAAATATCTGTGACCCTTTGAATCTAAGCAATTGTAATGACAATGAGGAATATGAAAAACAACTTATATCCCCAACTAAGAAATGTTCTAAGCGACGAAATAGAAAGAAAAAACGGGCATCTTCTGGTTCTGGGAATGATGCAAGTGATTCCACTGAAATCAAAATTAAAGACTGTGATGCTATTGATATTGTAGAAACCATGGAACAAAGTGTTCTAGACAATATTGTGGCAGAGCAACAACAACCACCACTGAATTCATCACCGACTAATTCATCCAGTCAGCCTAAAGAGACAAAACCAGAAAGTTCACAGAAAGACAAGAATAAATTACGTTTGAAAGGTTTAGAGGAACCTAAAGACAAAAGGTTAAGGAAAGTGGATGTTAAAGATAAAATTGTCAGTCCTGTAATTCCACAACCTGGAGGTTGGAAGACTAGACCACTGCATAGGCCAAGTCAAGATAAGAAGAAGAAACAAACAATGCCCAGGTTCAGAGAGAAAGATGCTCGTTATCAATATGGAAATTACAACAGGTATTATGGATACCGTAATTCTCACAATGATATGGATACAAGACTGACGGTATTTGTACAGTACAAATATTTATTTATTGACAAAGATGTATTAGACATTGGTTGCAACATTGGTCATATTACTCTTTCTGTTGCAAGAGATTTCTCTGCCCGCAGTGTAACTGGTATAGATATTGATAGAACACTTATCAATATAGCTCGAAAAAATATTAAACATTATGTCAATTGTGCACAGTCTCCTGCTGGTAACGAGGATAGTGATCACCAAGATGTAAACTTCTTTCCAATATCTATGCCAATCATTTATGGTCCAGTTGACATTCCAGGTTTCACAAAGAATAAAAGTCACAGAGGTTTCCCTTACAATGTCACTTTTGTACAGGTATTGTATTAAATTACATATATTATATCACGTAAATTTAAGTTCTAAAAAATTTTAATATATTTATTTTTAGGGTAATTACGTGCTCGAGGACGATTCACTATTATGTACAGAACAGCCGCAGTTCGACACAATTCTTTGTCTGTCGATAACTAAATGGATACACTTGAATTTCGGAGATGCAGGTTTAAAACAGGCTTTTAGGCGTATGTACGCACAATTACGCCCCGGCGGAGTTTTATTACTAGAACCTCAAGGTTGGAGTAGTTACACCAAGAAAAAAAATCTTACAGTAAGTATTTCCCTACTTGTTTTAAAAGGTATATTTAATCATTATGTTATCCTAAAATTGATATATGTTACTTTGTTTTCTTGCCATAGGAACGGATATATAAGAATTATGAGAGTATTGAATTTCGACCGCATAGCTTCACGCAGTATCTCTTATCTTCTGAAGTTGGCTTTTCCAAATGTGAGGTGTTATCGATACCTCCACATCCATCGAAAGGATTCCAACGGCCGATCCATTTGTTCACCAAAGCTGGCCTATCGCAAGAGAGATCTGATAATTCTGTGAAAAACGTAACAAAACGACAAGAACGAGAGATTGAAGAGAGGAGAGAATTGGAACAGGAGCATCAGCATGAAGGGAGAAGAGAATTGGGACAGAAACAAGAAGATGAGGAGATGGCGGAATTACAAGAGGAACGAAATGATGAAAAGAGAAGAAAATTAGAAGAGGAGCGAAAGGATGAAGAGAGGAAAAAGTTCGACAATCTAACTTAATCATGTGGATGAGGAGGTTGCGAGATAGTGCCGGATCCCTACCGGCTAAAACCTCTAAAGTGGGCTACCACGGCGCGATCGAGGAAGCTCTGGGAATTTCAATGGAATACAATACAGAGCTCCCCCGCGCCGCGCTTAGAGCCTGTCTTCAGAGGGGATTAACAACCTCTCGTCGTACCTCGATTCCGCGGCGCTGTAGGACCGTATTATAAGGTCTTCTACAACGCACGTGTCAGTTTTTTATTCATTATTTTCCTCTACTTTCAATAATGTAATAAATTATATTATGTATTTATTATGTTATATTATATTTATGTCAAGGAATTATATTTTTAAGACACCAGTCCTTAGTTAGCAGATGTATACAGTGTATAATGTATACAAATTAAGTTAAATTTTATTCATTTTGAAGCAAAAATAAAACGTGAAATAGTCATTACAGACTCGGCTTAAATAAAACTTTATAGGAATAGAGGAAGGACAATGGATAAAAACAGCTGATACTTGTGTCTAAAAAGATCAAGCGCGCGATTGTTAATACTAGAGACAAAAAAAAGAGAAAAGGAAAACACGGCAAAAGCTTCCAAAACACGGACGTACGGGTGGCTTTCCTTCTTGTATTATCTAGTCTGTATATCATAGAGGAAGAATGGAATAATCACTTGACAGTAACTTCGTAGTTCAAAACGAAACTTCGTTTTCAATTCAAAACTTTCTCGCACGTTCCGCGAAACATTTCTGTTCGAGTATGTTTCATGCGCTCCAATTGTAATTATACGCATTTTTTGTTCAAGTTCCATTTATAAAATAACCACTTTGCACGCATTTATCACGATTTAAACTGATGATGAAACTGAATAATAAATCATCACAGGTAGAGTATGGCGTACCGTGAAATAAAGCGATTAAGCATTGGAAAACACGATAAGGAAATTGTTCAGTAATTAGTAATTGGCTTTTTTCTGATATAAATTGTACTGGTTTACATTTTTTTATGTATTTGTTCCTGTTTTCTACTTGGACGAATTTTAAGCAGCTGTTTTTTCGTAGCGCATAGACATTTTGAACACGAATGCGGCCGGCACGTTCATACCTTTCTATCCTTGAATAGCTATGCGATACGAAGTTCGATGTGAAAAAATGAGAGAAAGATGTTTCAAAGGAGGAAAGGAGACGTGGACGTGTTACGTTTGAGAGGATGAAAGGAAAATGAACCACTTAGACGCTTACCAAGAACACTCATAGTGTAAGAAATAAAATTATTAATAATAAAGAATCGCTTTGAGTTACTAGTTGTGTATACTTTACTCTTACTGATTACCTGTAGTAAAAAAAATTTTTCATTATTTTTAGAATACGTCTAATAGTTAATAGTAATGATTCAATCATTTTATATCTAATGTGCAGAATTTATTGTAGTAAGATAGCTTTCTACACTGTTACGATTTTATGCTAAAGATTTGAGGGATCGTTTGAATCCTTTTCGTTTTTGTTTCAGGACGCATCGAAGAGCAAAATTCAGTTCCGCCTGCGATTGAAACATTTTTTTTACAATGATTCTTATAATATACGAATTTATTTACTTTCGCAGATATTTCAACTTCTTTCTAAAAATGATCGCAAAGTTCATATATTCAAATTTCCTTAGAAAAGTAACAAGTGTAGTCTGATATTCGCTGAATACATAATAAAATAATAGAACGCAAAAGCAGGTTTGAATCGTCGATAAGAGTTCGTTTAAAGGTTCGGATAAAGGTTCACTGTGATCAGTGTCCTGAAATAGATTCGATCACACGAGCTCTCTCTCTCAGAGAAAGCAGTATTTTGAAGCATGCAGGCTGTGAAAAAATTTCGAACTCGATGCCATGGCAGTGACGATCCCGAGCATAGCTTGCTAACATGAGAGATTCTCGTGTTATCATTTGCATCTACTACTATATGTATATATTTATATATATAATATATATTTCTGTAATAGTAACATATCGTTTAAACTCTGTATATTTTTCCCTATACTTCATCAATTTGTTTTCTCTAGAAATGGGTGTGAACAAAAGGGAGAATCGACGGAGAGACGCGTTGACCCGCAACAGCATTTTCTCTAAAATCTTCGAAACAATGAAAAGAAAAACGAATTGACCATCGTCCCGGCACAAAGGTGCATGTAATATTTATCATCTTCATCTCAATTTCTGTTTAAATCTATCTCCATTACTTAAAATCTACCAAGGGGCGCCAGCGCCTCAAAAATTGCACGCTCCTGAACGTGCACATATTGTTTCTTTTTTCTTGCTTCTTTTTCTTTTATACTCCTACTGGATACACATATAACGTGTGCCTATTTGTATTGCTTTCATTACGACTTTAGTAATGTACTGCATCGTTGTAGCGTGATAACATTATCGTTTGTCGCTGTTATCATAAATGCATACAAGAAGTCGTAATACGACAATGGCAAAACAGTTGAAGGAAGGGAAGATAGATTCTTGTCCTTCGCTATTAGTATCGTCGATAACAGAAGTTCCGATCTTTAAACATGTAATGAGAAATTCTGGTCAAATGTTGGTCTTAAGAAGTAAAAATAATTAAAAACATCGTGTACGGATTATTTCGTGGAGGTGGATGTCTTGGAGAAATTCACAAGATGCTATGATGTGGTAACGGATGTAAAAAGTGAATGTATTGCACCTGCAAGACGCTTAACTTCAAGACAGTCGAGCGATGCAATATATTTTTAGTAGATCTTATCTTCCTTTCGTTTACAAATATCAAACTACTTCTTTCAACGTTTCAGGGAGTAAAGCGCGAACTGCGTTGCTGCTGCATGAAACTATACTTAAAACGTGAAAAATGTCTCCTTGTCTCTAGAAAGATTCATCGACACAAAAGTGAGGCCACAGATAAACATGCCAGACAGTTTTAACGCTTTTCAGGTTGGATATTGGACAATAAACGACGAACACATTATCGCCGGAAAAAACATGCTTGGCAATCGAATCAAGTTGAATGAAAACGTTTGCAAAATTTGCTAAGTATCAACTCAGCCGTTCAATTCTTTCGCTGAGGACGAACTGCTGAACGCATGTTACTGAACTGTATTCAGCGCAATGATAAGAAGATAAACGTTTGTCGCGTTTGTTCATTGGTATTAAAAAAGTTTCACAATGGAACGAATCATCGCGATTTTGTACAAATCGCGTTAATAGTCTAGTTACCAGACTATTGAAGACAAAGACAAGATTTATAACAAGAGGTAGTCCTTTTATCTACTCGTCGACTAGTTCCCAAAGCATGAGCGCAGCGTCGGTCCCACCGACAGTGACGACATTCTGATCGTTGTAGAGAAATCTGGCGCAGGCCACTAGGGAACTATACACTTTTTCTTCGACGTATTCGGCCTTAGCACTGGTACATGGATACCTGAAAAGTCTCAGATAGCCTTCTGCATCACCACTGACTAACATGTCATGAGCTGCTGACCTACTTGACGTAGTTAGAACAGTCGTTAACGGATAGTAACGATTATTCCACATTCCTGTAAATAGTATTGTTAAATATTATTTTAATAATCCTGAAACTGTAATAATAATAATATACAGTGTTGCTTTTGCTGTTACAGAACTTGCGTATACTTACCAGATACCATGTATCCAACCATGCAGTTGTGCGTGTACCATTTCACGTCCTTCATAACTAATGGACTCTTCTCCGATGATAAGGCTTTCACATCCCCTGAAAAATGTATTTTAAGTTATGTTTATTCTCTTTAAAGTTTAAAGCTAATTTAATTATAAAAAGAAGCAACGTTACAGAATACTAAGTCGTAGTCCTGTGTAACAGTCTGGAGAAATCTGCTATCGGAACTCCAGTCGAGCTGCACTAATGGTTGGGTTCCGCGGATCTTGTTGCTCTTCTTGTACGAGAATCCGTCTCTAGATACTCTAAAGAGATATACACTACCATTCTGAGAACCCATTGCCACGATTTCTCCCGCTGTTCAACAAAAATAGAATCTTATATCTTTTATAATCAACGTACAAAAGTATACAAATATGTAATCATGTTTTATATGTGTATCGTACTTGGATTGTAGCCAATGCACGATAAAGGTGAACCACAAACTCTAAGGGTTGCTACAGCTGCCCCTGTGTCTGCGGCGAGGACCAAGAGATGACCTTCAGAAGAACCAGCGGCAAGGGCAACTCCAAAAGGATGGAAAGCTATGCAAATGCACTCGAAACCGACCTAAACAAACGTTACATTTGAATTTGAATTTTAGTTAAGATTTAACAATTTTTATTTGAATGTGAAAATTTGAAGGTTTAAATTAATACCTGCGTCGTCCACAAGAGTTTATGCCTGCGCCAAAGAGCAATATTCTTATCATGACCCGCAGTAGCGAACACTTCATCGTCAGGATGCACAGCAAGGCCCCACAACTGCCTCCCATGGCCAAACACGACTTGATTAAACCTTCTTTGAAGAGAACCTTCTAAAATATTATTCCTGGTAGTTCCAACATAAATATTTCCGTCGTTCCTTCCTGGTCTCTGAGGATAGATACTTCGCACACCTCCTACTGCCTCTGGTAACTATGTAATGTAATATTCAGAAATAGCATAACATATAATACTTGACTATTAATTAAAATCTAGGTTACACGCATACTTTAGTATCCGTGATACGTTTGTAATTCTGAAGAGAATCCCACGCGGCGATTTTACGGTCTTTTTCTCCACCAGAGAGCAACGTTCCCTCTGATAGCATAACAAGTGAGCTAATGCCTTTATTATGCGCCTCAAATTCCATTCGTACAAAGTATGCACCATCCGCATCCACGGAGTAAACGGTGATGAAACCGTCGCTATCTGCCGTGACGACATCTCCGTCTTGCTCGAATTGGATGCTAGTCACGTGCGTACGGGACGGCTTAAATGGAAAACCAGAATCAGTAAATAGCTCCAAATAGACGAGCACACGTTTACTTCACATTGCAACGTACAGGTTTGATGATGTCCGTCCTTTCAAAGAAACCGTCTTTCCGCCGATTCCAGAAGGTCAAGTGACCTCTACCGTGCGTAATCAGCAGATTGTCGTCGAGAGGATGAAAAGCTGCACCGGTTAAGTCCTCCTGCATGGTCTATAAAAATTGGTATTACACACGGACATTATGATATATGATCATGACATTGTAGCGTGCGCGAAGTAGGTGGAGAAAAGCTTACCGCCACTTTACCCAACAAATGGCCCCATTGCCACTGCCACACTGAGAGTATCGCCTCCCTGCCAGCGTCAACCGCTAATACGTAACTACCCCCGTTCTGTACACCGAGAATCATATAGAAATGTGCTTGTTGTTCAATTCTTTTTTATACGATATTTAGGTTCACGTTATGTTAGTACATTAGTATCGCGTATGCGTGCATTTGGGTGTGATATTTTACCAGTTGAGAGAATGCTAACGCGGAGACGCCCATCTGGAACTCAGTCATTCCAAACACGTACAGAGTAAGCAGAGTCTCTGTTGACCATATGCGAACGTGTGGTTGCGCTTTTCTGTGTCTACCAGCTTTTTGTCCGGATGCCACCAGCTCTCTACTTGGGTGAACCTACATATACATTAAACGAATACGTTGAAATATTTAATCACACTTATTCGATCTTAAAATTCCGGAGATATTAAATTATCTTTTTACGTTTTTTGATTTTAACGTCTGATCTACTTTAGGTTCCCGTAATATCTTTCCGATCGATTATAATCCAGTTAAAGTCCCAACTGAAACCAATAATAATACCTCCATGCACGTAATATCCTCCGTATGGCCCACATAGTGCCGTTGTGCATTTTCCTCTCTGTCAAAGAGAACAGCCACGGCAGCGACATAGTACAAAAGTTCTCCACTCGGTAGAACCCAGAGATTTCTTCGGGTATCGGTGCCCCGATATCCGTAAACCCATTCAAGTTGCAGCTTCTTATCCGGCGGAGAATTGTCCACCGGTGGCAGATGGGAAGGTGGATAAAAGGATCGTCTCAATCCTCGAATAGTCACTCTAGCTGGTTCGTCTCGCAATACCTCGACAACGCTATAATCTATTTAGAAAGAGCGTAATGTGCTCGTTTAATATCGTTATTTACAATTAGATAGTCGGTGTACATAATGGATAAGCGAAGAGCGATATGGAGAACCGTTTACTCGGACGACGTCTGAATCAGGGGCATACAAAGCGCGTGGTCTGCTTTTGCTACGAGCTCGTCTTTGACGGCCGATATCCTCGACCACAGTAGGTGGTCCTCGTGATCTGGATCTTCTTGCTGGGGATGCGGTAACAGCACCAGCTATACCCATCCCCGACCCAGTACCCAGATAAAAAGTATCCACGTCAGCGAATTCGTTCCTTAGTTGCGAGAAGCTTCTGACCTGTTAACGGTATAATCATTTAATTTAGAAACAGATGAAAAATTATGGTTTTGTTTTTAATATTGTCTTTAAAAAATTATCCTTGATTATAAATTCTAAGGATGCGGTATTGGTAAAAACAAATGCGAGCAAGGAATGTAGGTATCTAAATGAATGAACCTAGACACATCTTGTTCCCGTGTCGGAATCGTGTCGCGAACGTCACTGTTGACGTAGACGTCACAGGGTGTATACACGATGATGCATAAGGTAGTCGAATGCTTGCTAAAGAAAATTGGTCAATTTGAAATTCATATACGGTCGTGACCTGGAAAGATGGATCTCTGACCTTTTTTCCCACGAGCCTCCAACCGACTTACAACGGCCGCGATCACCAGAACGTATAATCGTGTAATCTGCTATGACGTTGTGAAACTCGAATCAAAAATGATTAAAATAACATGCAACGATGAGAAGCAGGAATAATAATATCTTACTTCCATCTGCTATCTTTTTGCATTAACAAGATGTGAATTTCAGTATCTATTGAAGCGGAATTTTGTTTGTATCGCTTAATGACCTATTTCTTGTTTCAGGAATTTTATTCTCTGATTACCAACGATATTTTTGAGTATAATAAAAAGATCATTCGGAAGCGATTGAAAAGAGAGTTAATCAACGACCCTATTCCATTTATTGTAAAGAAGTCGACCCCGATATCGTCACGCTTCGTTTCGACGCTTCTACCCCCACCATCGCATGCATATTTATGGACAAACATTATTCAAGCAGATTTTATAAGTACGATGCCGAGCCAATGTCTTCGATTTGCATAAATCGCTGATAAACTTTCGAGTCGCCCACGTTTCGGCCGTTCACGAACGTACACCAATCGATCACGATGTACGTCATCCTTCTCGACAATTTCGGCCACGGATTTTTATTGTATTTCACGTGAATTTTTACAGTACTTATTTCTATTGCAGTATTTTACCTCTTGACCTGAAACTGTGAACATTCTTTTGGCCCCATTCATCTTCAATACTTGTCCAAGATCTTCCAGCACTTCTTCGAACGGTTGCGAAGTACGGAGGTTCAACAAGACTCGACACTGAAATCAATTAGTTGTAACTCATAAAAAAGAAAAATATAAAGAAATTTGAAATACGTTTTAGGTGTGCTTTGTAATTACTACCTGTACTGTATGGTCATGGTTGTTAACGATTCGTATGACACGTCCCGAAGAAGGCTTTCCACCGCCAGGAGGTGGTGCTTCGTCGGTGATGGAAGCTTTCCTGCTAAGACTCGCCACCGCTGGTGGTCTACTTTGCCATCCTCCGACACCACCTCCAACGCTTGCTCCACCTCTGCTACCTCCGCCAGTAGGACTCGTGTACCAGGTGTTGCTTTTCTTTCCGTAGCTGGCCGGCTATTATTCCAAGTTAGATAATAAGTTAAAAACAAGTCGTGAAAACCTCAAGTAATTCCATTAATTATTTCTAACGGCACTGGCGTATGATTGATTAAATAAATATAGTGAAACTATGCTAGTGGCTTTAAGGTTTAAATATTCATTTTAATTGTTAACACTTTATATCACAAAGTGCCTCACTATATTTGTTTCACCCACTATAATTTAACATTAATATATAGAATCTGATTAGGATTTGGAGGACCTGCAACATATCGGCCGGCAGCGATATAACTTCAAAGGAATCGCTCATCAACACGACAAAACTGTCGCAGCCGTCCCAGGATTTAGGGCTACAGGACTCTAGCTCGGAGTCGCTATAAGAGTCCGCCTTGTCTCCGCCGGCGCCAAAGTCCGGCTCCAAGTCCGAGCGGGACGAGGAACTTGCCGACTCAATGGTGAACCTAGATCACTGTAGTCTCACTCAACGATATTCACAGTCCTTAGAGAACGTTCTTCACTGAACAGTAAACTTTATCCTTGCTTGTTCACATTCTTTTCCATCACTTGCACACAGTAACCCTTAGTTTTTCTTTAATCTTTTTAATTCTTCTAATAATACCTTATATAACAGATGGAAAAATTTTATTTCGAGAACTTAGAAACAGTCGCGCATGTAACAGACTGTTATTTCTTCTGTTTTAATCATACAACTGTACTTCATAGAATTTGACTCTATAATTGTATGAACGATACGGGTTCGTAAAAAAGAACGGAGAACTTCTGAGAAAAAGGCGACGCCTTGTAATCGCAGCAGCTGATCGCAAAGGGAACTACGATCGGAACAAATGAAAACGTGGTGTCCAAAGCAAACGAGGGCCGTGAGAAGGTTGTGCCACTAGGTGCAACCTCAACTGTGTTCGATGGACAACTGGAGGCGGGGTGTGTACTGCCTCATTGGGCTGGAGAACCAACCCCCTGGCTGCAACATCCCCTACCCTCCCCCTCCGCTTTCTAGGAGAGCCATCGCGTCTCAAGGCCAAACAGCCATCCCCTGTACTTGAGAGTATATAGCTCACCAAATCGTGCGACACGTAGATTGCTGATCAAAAGTTTGGATTCACTATACGTTCGAAGAAATGCAAAAATCTTTAGAAGTCTTTTTTAGTCATTGACTTATTTTCTGGTCTTAAATCGAAGATCTATCGAAGTATGGAAAATTGTTGTTAACACGTTAATAAACTAGTCGTTGGTAATTTTATATTCATAAAGATTTTATGTTATATCGTACAAAATTTTATATTTCTATCGCTTTTTTTTCTTATATGGCTTTTTATCTTTTGCATATCATAAAGAATACTTTATAAGCAACTTAAAGGTAATATACTACAGGTGCACTATTTTTTTTTATCTTCATCTCACGTGTATGTGATTTTATATATAACAAGGTTCTTGCATACAGTTGATTGTTACAAAGTATAGTTCTAATGTAATTTTGCCTGTGTCATGATTTGTCGACAAATGATGGTATATTATGATGGACGAGTGGAAATTTTGTTAAATGGAAGCTTGATGGACACCTGTTAATGAGGATATACGTTCGGAAATGAGTGTTCGCGGTAGGAAATGAGGCTGAAAGCATATTTTGGAATTAAAGGCGTCCACGCCCTGATACAGCGGCGTGCCGAATGAAAAAAGAAGTAACATCGTATAGGGCCAATTATCCTTGTTGACTAAATGAGGTCAATATTCAAGTGAGACAGAGAGGCAATGAAAAAAACCTTAACGAGGCTAATAGTGTAATAAACCGACTTATGAATTCGAGACACGCACGCTGCTGCCGGCAGAATGCCAGAGATTCGATGACCTTGCAATCGTTTGCTATACTTGAGATCTTTCCAAATTTATCAGTGGCAAATAACAAAATTTCATAAAATCGTGCAATTCAATCATTTCACTGATAGTTCTTATTTTTCTTTGTATTAAACCTTGTATTAATTTAACCTTTGTATTAAGCGACCCAAACAATGATACAAACAAGTTTCAGAGAAATTCATCATTAAAAGATAACTCAATCGACCGATAGATGTGTACGCGTTCATCCTCGTGCAGTTGCAATGCAATGCCAGCTTTGATGGGATTGGTATGATAATGGAAGCATAGATTAACACAAGGTGAAGGTTAAACGACTCTCTCTCTTTCTCACACAGGCGAGCAACCCTACCGGTAATGCACCCTCCGTGACGTAAGCTTAACCCATAGGTAAGCCATTCAGTGATTTCTTTTCTCGAAAATTATTAGCTTTTTAAGAAATTACACTTCGAGATGTACGTATGCTTAAAAGATGTTCGAAGACGTCATAACAAAGATTGAAGACAGTTCAAGTTCAAATTGTTCTTATAATATACAATAAATACTCATGACAACGTGACTAAGACGCTTAATGGACTCGAGGCACGAGCTTTAAAAGGAGAACATTTGGACAGTGAAAAGATATATAATTTTTTGTGGTATGAATCAGCAGCAATAATTTGGGAAGGATCGATCGGAAATCCGTAGATTTCACGAATTATCTGGTAACGTTATTAATTCCGATGAAATATATTTCTAAAATAACTAATTTACAAATTTTAAATTTAATATTTAATTTATATTTTCGTCAATTATATGTATGTTAAATACACAGATACATACTATCAGTGTAACAAATAAAATTTTATAAATTTCTCATATATCAGTAAGTGATTGTTTCCACTATAGAATAAGGAATATTATTGTATATAAACACCATCGCTAGTGAAATCTGTAACGTGTTTAGAATCTTAATGAACTCCATGAATTCTGTTCAAGGCTACCGGACAGTCTTTATTATTTACTTTCTTATATCACTGTCGAAGCTTACTGTTCGACTAGACTCGAAACCAGTTTACGGGTCAACTTTGTTTCCGCAATCTGATCGACTCCAAGCAAGCTTGAAATCAGAACGACTTACACAATCTCTTCCATCGAAACGAACCTCGTAAGGTTCGCTGCTCACGAAGGTGTCTATTAATAAATTACAAACTAAAAATACACCCCTTCATCGACGTCCAAGGCACAACGACGTAGAAAGATCTGTTTCTCATAATTATAAGTATTTGCCGCTAGATGAAACGAAAGTTCACAAATATTATATACCCTGCTTTGAAAAAACAATTTTCATAATTTCAAGCGGATGTCGTAATAATTTGAAACAATATTGTTTTTTCTATGTAATATGGTACTTATATAATCTATAGATTCCAACGTTTCAGGTGAACAGTTTGCACGACGTTGTAACATGAAATAGCCATTTCGATCGTGTGGCTGGAAAAAAAACAAGGCAACTAGGAGTAGAAAAAAGAAAGAAGAAACGAGAGTCCATTCACGAGGAGTTTAGCTGGTTCGTATAGTAATTTATGACGCTGTCCCCATAAATTACGATTTGCCAGCGAACTGCAATATGTGTGAGTCAACGCATATGTTTGTTTGCAAGGCCAAGGTCACGGTGCAACAATCTTCCGGCTGTTGGTATGCGATCGGATGGAAGGCGCAACGAAAGTATGCGTGGGTGCACACTCTGGGTTCACCATGGGTGCTACAACCCTTAACCTTTTCACGCATTTACGCGGTCATGTACCCCGTTGATTCATCTTTCTGATACAACAATTCATGCTGCACAATATTTACGCAATCAAATTGATAAATAGTAGAATTTTTGTAGCTTTCTTTTTTCACTTTTACATTATCAAGAATTTTACGTTCGACCTAAATATTTATTTGTACGTATTGTAAAAAATCTGCCACATGATTCGAGTAATTCGATCTCTTTTCAGGTATTAAAGATCGAAATTTCTCGATTAACTGTGACCTCCAGTTTCAATGAAAATGAAATCCTGCATATTCTACAATCGATTACGCTATAACCAAGTATCCTGTCAAGAATATCAGCCTATAGAGATTATTAAGAATATTTTAACCATCATATTTTTTATCTTATGTTTTTTATTCGTTGCATAATTTATTAGGAGAAAATTATTTGCTTTTCACATGAATGTATCCCTTCGCAGAGAACAACAGGACAGGACATTGAGTTTGACTTTCTCATCTACATTGGAACACTAGCTCGCAACGTACAACAGGGTGAATATCCGTCTTAACCGTTTACCTTGTTGATAAGAGAGCGAGGACCGTTGAAAGGTCGCTTCACTGTACTCCAACCCTTAACCTTTGGCGCCAGGTCACTGGCTATAAATTATCATTTGCAACACTAATTCGATTATTCGAATTGAATATTTTAGTTAGGAAAGAGCGTTGACTATCATTCTGATAAAAAATAATACTCTATGTATTTTATATATAAAATTGATACGAATTTGTGGTGAGAAAAAATGTATTTCCATTTTCCAACAGTTTCCACATGGCATTCAATGCACGCGCGCGGCACTATAATTGGCAGGTGATAAGGCTCGCTGCATCGATAAGCTGTTTGCGCGGCGATCGTTGGGTTAATTCGGCCGATTAACACGAAACATTTTTTTTCTTCCCGTATCAGTAATCTCGTGTGGCGTATACACAACCCTGATTTTTCGCGACGATCGTTGCCTAAATTAGCTTCGTGCACTTTGTGTAAGATGTTAATATAAAAATTGCTCACATGAAAATCATCCACAACCTACGACTTTTTGTATCGTAGTGCCACATAGGCTCGATATACAATAGAACAAAAGCGTTCCGCTCAATCATCTACGAATTACTTAATATTTGATATATTAAGCAGGGCTTTGATGAATTACTATAATTTCTATATAGTTAAAAGAAGGCTGGTCCTGACGCTTTGAAAACTAACTAGTTTCATTCCTAAAATAAAAATGGTTGCAACTTTTAGAGTAGATTGATTATCAAGATTCAGTAAGAGAAAGACCAAGGTTCTTTCTGAAATCTTTTGAAATATATTTTGCAGGATAGTTTGAAAATAATATAATAATGTATGATGGAAATAAATTAATTTATATGGGTTTCTGTTACTAATACCACATATCACAGAATTCCTCTATCATTCCTTTCTACTGTTCTGGTGTATTGGAACTTAGAATTGCATTACTTTTGCTTCATTCTGTGCATTATTAGAAGAAAATCGAGGGTTGTCGGGGCTACTTATGCATGCAAGAAGTTGAAATCGTAATTGACATATATTACAGGAGTGCGTGACGAGCGAGCGTGCTATACGGAGTGAGAGAAGGTTTAACACACAGGGTAGTTGTCCTGCGAATGTTCTGCGACAAGCGTGCAAGCAGTCTGGTCAAAAGGCAACGAATACCATACAGACGGGATGCCGCAGTGATTTACATATCGTCGATCGAGGTATACACGTCATGTGGCGAAAACGTGTGTGGATTGGTGTAATACGCACCGGAGGGAACGACGGATCGCGACCGGTTTTCTTGAAATGCTCCTCTTTAATCGACCCTTACCGAAATTCATTTATTTCGAATTCGAACCTCATACATATTCAGCGCGACAACCAGCGATAAATGATCCAAGCCACGGATTACAATGCGAATAGTAACACGAATCTGCGTGTTTCATGATAACGGGAGGAAGAGGGGAGAAAGAAAGTAGGTAACGGAGCAACATTCTGACCACTTTGAATTCGCACTTACACGTCCCTTTCCGCTTTGCGGATCGTTCAATTGCATGTCGATATGTCGAGAAGAAGGTCCAGGAGTTTTTTTTACGGAGATAATTAGAAGGAACTTACCGTTGCGTGAAACTACCTTATACTTACTATTAATTGCATTAACATTCCTATTTAATATGTAGACATATGTCTCGCCGTATATTTTCTTAATTAAACTTTCCTCATTTTTTTTTCTACATCGCAATTTGAAAATCAGGTCACTAAAAGTCATATTTTCGAGTAACTTCTTTTTCTCATTTTATGCTATAAATTTGACCAGAGAAGAAATAGCGTGTAATTAAATATCAGCCTGTATACTTCTACATCTGTAAAAGCTGATTTAAACGCAAGGAGGTATTAGTCAAAAATAAAAGAGCGCGAAACGAAATAAGAAGTTCGATGAAGAACTCTCCAACTCGAACTCTACAATCAGTTGGAATCAGATCGAATGTTCGCGTAATTATTCGATAAGTATATCGCTTCAAGGTATATCGCTTACAGGATCGACGTAATAATGTCAATTAAAGTGGACTGCCGTCAGTCATGCAGCCTAGAAGAGCGAAAAACAACAACTACCTGAAAAGGAGGTGGATATCGAAAAAATTTACGAGCTTAAGGGAGTCCGTTTATCGTCGCAAATATTTTTCGACTAGCTTCCTCGTTTCTTCGCCCTCTCCCTTGCCGAGTACGTGTAATTAATCTGCAGGCAAGCATGCAATATTTTCGTTGGCCCAAAGACGATAAAAGCAGGACAAAATTTGGTTCACCGAGATTATAGCTATCAAAATCTTTTCTTTACATGTCACATGTCCCATGAATAGCCTCGCGTGAAACGTCCATAAGAACGCAACAACGATCCGTTCTTTGTAATTACATATTTTATTCGTTTCTTAGGAAGGTATTCCTTGTGATTTCGTGACGCATATAGGCCAGATACGTGCAAGAAGTTTCTGGCGCTAGAGTTCGTGACATATCACGGTGGAGGGTGGCTGACATGAATTTCAGACTAGTTAACAATTATTTCTTTCAAGAACACTCTCCGGCGCTGTTATATCCCTTATGAACTTACGGGAGGGAACACGTGTGCACACGACAGTAGCTGCGACCGACTATTTCAGAAAGAAAAAGGACTCGTTATCACGGCGAAAGCCGGCACGATATGAAAATGAAGAACGAGCTCGAAACATGCGTGACGGATCGTCCTACGTTCGAAACGTGCCACTAGCGATTACAAAGAAATAATCGTGGCGATTATTCAATTGTAAAACGCTACCTGAAGGATGGCAATTTTTGGCGACGCTTTTTATACTTAATTTATAATACATCCGTGGAATTAATCTAGATACAATCGATAAGATCGAATACAAAAATGGTCGTAAGCTAAAACGACGTAAGGTACATTTTCAAGAAAAAAAAAATCGTATAAGCGTACAATACATCATTCTGCTTATCGTTTCTTCAAATTTTATTTAAATATTTTGGTAATACGAATAGAACGAAAATGCAAATACGATTATAAGAAACGTACCGAAAGGCAATCAAAATGACGGAGACCTCGATGCCCGACTAGTCACTGTTCCATGTCAGTGTCACACATCCGAATCGGTCGACGTCGTCACATAGCATCGATGCCTTTCGATGAACGGTAGTCACACGTACGTGTGTATTACGTTTGCGCTCCGAAGTTTGCAGTAGTAATAAACTGTTACTTCCGACCGCAGTAGTAACGCCTTTGCGAGAGACGGTCAGAACATAATTGATTGCGTCAACTCACAGCCGGCTGTAATCGACGCTATATCTTCCACCGGTTCCTCGTCATTTCCGTTATCCCGCAACATTAATTTTTCATCATGTTATCGCTCTTCCATGCGTCACTATTTCATTGCAATTTCGAATGCAACCATAAATTTCCAAATATAACGTGATCCTAGTTTCTAATTGTACGCTTTTTAACAATGGATTATACTTATCAGGCAGGGTGGGTAAAATTTTGAACCGTTAAGAGAATATCTACTCTACTTCTATATCTAATCTACTTCGTCAAGTTTCTTCAAACAGAACGGTAGAAACCCGGTTTGTGAATCGTCTATGTGGAGAACGTTGTATTTATTGATCCCTTGCGGGACTGACCAACGGTCAATGAGATACGGTCTCTCCCTTGCTAGCTGCCCTACGACTTGAGAGCCCTGCATCGGTCTCCTTAACGGAAATACGAGCCTACCCTCTCACCCTGTCTCTAACCCCCTATGCCACAACGTGATTCATACGTTCTTGGAGAAACTCGACTATGTATACTACAAAAAAAAAAAAGAAAAAAATGAAACAGCGTAAAATGTTTGGAGGGAACGGGAAGAACCAAAAACTGCATGTGCTTCGACCTGGCTAAATTATATAAAGTTCCTATATAAAGCAATTGAACAGTGGACAATCACTTAATACACAAAACACGAATGACACGAAGGAAGCGAATTAACTGGCAAACGATCGAGCATCCGACCTACATTTTAGTCTGACGAAGATCAGCGGGATAAGTTTTTGTGGTGCGGCGCCATAAAGAAATTTGGGTCATCCGTGTAGCGAGGTGAAGAAACTGGAGTCCATTTAAAGGCGCAACCGTTATCACGACATGGAGGAAAGATGGATTAATGACTGGTTTGGTGGGAATGAAAATATGCAGACGAGTGGAACGCATGGAAGCACGATAATGAGGCATTAAGCGAAATAGGATGGCGTACCATTTGAACGGGATCAGAACGACATAAGAGGGTGGACTGGTGCGCAACCGCAGATCCAATTGGCCAGCCCTTTTCACCCCGCTTTCCAACCAACCCTGTGGTGATACTTACTCCCACTTTTCGTCCCGTTGACACGCTCCCACCCCTACCTCAAGACCGCAGATTCACCTACGTACGTCGATCTTTCATGCCACGTGGCTTTGGTAAACAATAGTCAAAATATGTATCTGATACTGATTTAGTACAATTAGATTCGGTATCATTAAAAACGAATGCAGACAAAGTTATTTTTATGGAGAAGAATTAT